CTTTTTGTAGCTCTTACTCTTCAGGCTCCACACAAGAGCACTCTCCCTCTCCCTTCCCTTTTCAAATTCATGTTGCACCAATGCTATGTGTCTTTGTACTGTGTGTATCTTCTAAGCTCATGGTGGTGACAGGGCAGAGGAATTGTGTCTCATTCCTCACTCCCATCCCCAAGCAGCACACACAAACACCAGTGAATACTTGCAGACTCATTTCTAGAAATGAAGGAGCATCCTGCCCGGTATCCACCTACATTCCGCTCATTTGCCTGTATATGGTAGCCAGCTAGAGTAGGCTTGAAAGGATGGGGGATAAAGAAACCTGTGCTGCCCTCAAGGAACTGCTATTCAAGGGAATGTGGGCAAATTGACATCAGAAAGAACAAGTGAAAAGCTAAGGTCCAAGGAGGCGGGACCCCTATACGAATGCCTGGAGCAGGGGATGCCTGTGAAGAGTTTGCCAACTGCAAGGTCGCCTGAAACAGGAGCAGGGGGGAACAGCAGAGTTACAACCATAATTTTAAACTCCTAATGGACCATTCTCATCCAGCATGCTGTTACTTCTCTCACTAAAAAACCAACCAACCTTCTCTTAATGCCACTAACTCCAGCTACAACTTTGTTGCATCTTTATAAAACTCAAACGGTTGTCTATGCTCTCCTCAATGCCTCTCGTTTCTAAATCCAAGGTCGTTTTATGGAGTCTCCTCTTGTCTGACCTCTCAGCACATCTGAAACCAGTGATCTCCCTTCTTCTTCACTTAGCTTCAGGACACCTTGCTCTTGGTAATCCTCTGGTGTATGTACCCTCCTGCTGTCACTCCCTTCTCCCAGACATCTTAACGCTGGTAGGCTAGGCTCAATCTTTTATCTCTTCTTCTATGTGATTCATCCAGTTTTGACAAATACTCAGACACCAAACATTTCCATGGTTTTAAAATACCGCCTATATGCCAACTTCTCCCAGTCTACATCCCCATTCCAGATCTTTCTCCAAAACTCCAGACATGTATATCTGTGCAGAAAGATTTAATATAGCAGGTACAGACCACTGTCGCTTAGAAAGACACTGCTTATGGTGGGCCCCAGCTC